ACCCATTAGAAAACACAACCAATCACCACCAGACCACCAAAAAAAAAAGACTTTAATATGTCTAAAAGAACAAGACCTAACACAAAAAAGCGACAGAAACACAATAACTTTAATTTTAACTCTCCCGTTTCTTCCTTCCCAAAGTCGGGGTTCGGAACAAGTCCAAAAAAACCATATTATTTTAACTGCTCTCCTTCCGGGGGGGGGAGGGGTGGATAGCGATTAATGCAACCCTCGCCCTCTCTAGGGCAGTATCTGCTTTTAAATGGCTCTAAATTTTTGTTTAATTTCAAGCGTTTTGAGACCGTATAATCGAGAAATTCTCCCAGGATCTAGCGCGAGGTTAATTGAGGTGTTGTTCAAAAAAAGTGGTATCTATGGCAGCAAATGATCAGCTATTCAGCACTATTTTATTCAAAGGTCAGTACAAGTCGCGAAGAAAAAGGTATTTAGTTACTACACGATTGTTTTGCGATGCGCAAACAACAGAATACATAAAGAAGAAGGCACGAATTCCAGGATAATGGCGATGAAGCGCCAAGGGCAAAGCGCTAGGAAGAGCAGATAGATAGCTGGATCTGAGAATATATGGCATGACTAGGAGTGAAGCAGGTGGATGTGGAATTAGGAGAGAAAGGCTGGAGCAACTCGGATTGCGAGTGGGTCGGGAAGATGATAGATGGAAGTGTGTCTAATGGGCGTTTGGGATAGAGTCGACGGAGCGCGGAACAGTGCCAGAAGGTTCGGAAATAGAGGTCAATGAAAGTGGAATATACCATTAACTCCGGTTCTCCACTGAAGAAAAGAAGTATTTCAGGACCGCAAAGATGGATTAAATGTTGAGAGAAAATTTTGGTGTTTAGTCGAGCCGATGGCGGAGGCTTAGTAAGGATTGGTGGAGAGCGGTTAAGCTGCCACACAATGGGTGGAGGAAGGGGAGCAAACACGGGTGAGCATGACGACGTGACGAAGGATTGGCTAGAGGCAAGGGGGATGGAGGGCACAACGTTGGGGAGGGAGGAAGGTTGACTGTTCAGGATCGGTAGAGTTGCCTGGAGGAGGGATGGATGGAGAGGGAGATAAGAGACGGAGACGGCGGTGGAGGTGGAGGTGGAGACGAAAGTGGATTGGCGCGAAGAGAGAGAGGGATAAGAGGAGAAAAGAGAGGATAAGAGATGAACGTGAATATTGCGAGACAAGCAGGGAGAGGATTTAAGATGCTGGTGGTGATAAGAAGTTGTTGGTTGAGGTTGAAGTTGCTCGTTCGTGTATGATTTGTTTTTGCGGCGGTCGAGGGCTTGGGACCCGATGCAACTGGCAAGTGCGGCTAGGCTAACCCTTGAACTTTAGGGGAGTCGCTGCCCACCGTCGCTAGCGGGCGCACTCTAATGCAGAGCCTCACTTGTCGGCTGACGACATCTGCTTCGCTTAGCGACACTAACTATGTGCCGCTCCTACGGTTTTTCTAGATGAGAAGAAGATAAGCAGGGGACAAGAACAATTAAACAACAAAGGATGGGTATTCCCGCTGTTAACTAACCAGTTATCGTTCCTACTGGCACCAGAAAATAAATTCTATCTGAACATACCAAATCGCCAATATCCGCCCTTCAGAGCCAGCCTCCCTTGACCCCTAGATTGCTCACCACCACCAGAGGAGAAGAGGGAGGAGGAGAGGAGGGGGGTGGGGGGTGGGGGGTGGCTTTTCGCCAAAATTTGGTGCAAGAAAGATAGGTGGCTTCAAAGCTCGGGGTAAGGGAAGCACGATGTGAAATCAGATCCTCTGAAGACACTGGTGATGTTGGTGTTTGAAGAAAGAGGAGGGGAGAGAGCAATTGGAAATGTGGAGATGGGGACTGAGGAATTCAGAGCGAACCATGCTAGTGTCGTTGATTGGGGTTACGCGCAGCTGTCCCATCTAAAGTCCGTCTTGGGAGAGGAGCGCGGCCCAGCGGTTCAGCTACACGCCCGCCTGGGGGGTTGGGGATTGTGGAAGAACAGTTGAGAAAATGCTCCCCTGCCATTTTCCATTTCTCGACAGACTAAGTGCATCTATCAACGGTATTTAAAGTTCCCCTTGACAAATAATCAATCCCCTTGTGGGGGGAACTGGTCAACGCCATTATTGTCTGGTTGATCCCCCCAATGGAACGGAATAATATCCCTCAATTGAATCGATGCCAGTTGCCTGCGCCACCATTTCCCCCCTTTTTCTACGATACGGCCATGTTTTTGTCCCACCGTCATTTGCGGCACAGGATGGAATCCTCCGTCGTGAAAATAACATACCGAGTAATTATCCAATAAAAACAACGATGGTTAACTACAGCAAGACCTCCTTTGAATCTTTCAAATCTCCCCGTCCTCTTTATCTCTGTGATCACTCTTGAGTCCTAAACCATCTCAACCAGGGGGCGATGATGGAGAGAGCAAGAAAGTGGCCTTGCATTTTTCAACACTAACGACAGGTGCTAAGGTGCCATGACGAAGAAAAAAAGAAAACAAACGGAATACATACTGACGCCATGCGTGCGCCGCAGATCGAAATAATGGCTCCATTTCTAGAGCCGCTACTGGATGACGCTAACGCCGCGGGATTTCCACTCCAGTTATTATCATCAGAAATGGACTGTTTTGCGTGAATGCTTTTAGTTGAAGGATGTGGGGAAAATACTGGGGAGTGTTGTTGACAATGTTTCGTATAAATCCTTCAACAAAGTAATGTAAAAGACCACGAGTGGTTCGGTGTCTTTTGTCTCCTGAGCAGAAGAAACATCATCATCAAGTGTAATTATGCATTGTTCGGAATAATAATTAGTTAGTTTGATCTTAAAACAGCCACATGCATGGTTGATGACGCTTCAATTTTCTTTCGAGGACTTGGTTTCTTTTTCCTTTTCCTTTTTATTTGTTTCTTATTCTATTTATTTATTAATTATTATTATTGCCACAACCCGTCTTGTTGACAGAGTTATTAATGAAAAATTATACTAATTAGAATCAGGCACGGCACGGTGTATACATATCCGTACTTACAAAAGCACTAGTGGATCTATGTACTTTTGATAGCTTCACTCCTTTTACGAAACCATCATCGTTGATTCCTCTTTCTGCCCCCTGCAGTTCATTCATGAACCAAAAATACTTCACTTGCTGGCGATACGGGAGAAACATCTTTTTGAAGCAAACTTCATCCCAAAGAGAGAAAACAATAGCATTGGATCTACTTGTCCATTGCCATGATTCACGGACCGACCCAAGAACACGGCTCGATTAACTGGGATAAACTATACTCCGTATACAACCCACATGCCAACTATTTAAGCTGGCAATTGTAGGTTTTTTTTTTAATTTTTTAAAAATTTTAATTTTTTAAATTTATTCATTATTCATTTTTTTATTTGTATTCACTTTGGCTCTTCTATACCTCTTCTCTTTAACAGATCATCATCGAAAGGGGATCAAACTTACCATTTATTACTATTAATTATTTGATTTTGTTTGACTGCAATGTGCTTCTCTCCACACGAGGAGATGGGAGAAAATTATACCAAGATAAAGCAGAGCAACTCGCAATATCAGACAACATGGTTGCATATTCGCGTCCATATTTGCCCTGCCTTTTGTAACTTATTGCCTGTGGGCTACATCAATGGGTATTTATACAAGAAGGCTCCCGCCGTTGCGCATACGCATTTCGGTGGACTGGCGGTATTCTAGCTTTGGAAGCCACCTGCTCTAATTGACGGCTTGCGGTTTTACCTGGACTGAGTGCACATCGAGATGAATTTGGAAGAAAGACTGGGTGCTCGAGAGAAGAAGGCTCGGAAATAAATATAGCCTACAACGGTATCGAGGGCTGCCCTGGATTTATGCAGCCGATAACTAAATATTGGGCAGCAAATGAGCTCAGAAAAGAAAAGCAAAGAAAAGTCAGAAAAGGCATTTTCCCCAGTGAGCACTTGGTCAGTGCCACGGTGCCATCTCATCAACAAAATTTCCCGGCATATCTGGGATATCCTGATGCGCAAATATTACGAATACGAGATTTCACCCTGCCCTGGTGTCATTAACTTCAGCGAACTACCCATCCCTGGACTGACTAAAGGACGGCTGCTGCATATCGTGCTCCTCAAACCTCAGAGATATAGCCAGGATCATGACAATGTTCTCCACACCAAGCAGCTTCTCGGACTATGGGAGTGAAATCGCATGCGGAGTCGTGGGGTAGGAGAGGGAAGGGGAAAAGATGGAAGAGATATGTGGAAAACCACATAATGGCTGAACCAATAATAGCTGTCATCAAGCCTCCCAAAAGCCATTTTAGATTTGTTTGCATCCACATGGGCAGATAACTAAGTGCATCGACAAACGTTCTAGTGCACTCAATTGCAGCAGGAGGCTCTGCTTCTAAGTTCTTACTCACCATCCCCCACGGGTCACTAGTAGTTTATGGCTCCATTGGTTCCAAAACATGGACGTGCTGCAACTGGGAGAGATCGTTCTACCTGCTTCCGGTTCAAGCCATTATATGTGCAGCTTCGCTGCTTTGGTAAGTCCGGTGCCCCAGAGATCCTTCACATGATTGGATTCGACATTAATCAGAGGCTGAGACGGAGAGCCGCACACTAATGCGGCTGAGCTGATGAGAGAACCATTTCAACACCAACAGAACGTACGTGGATCGCTTTGAAACCGCAAAGAGTCTGTTTGCTTTTAACTGGTGAGAATGAGCAATGATTTGGGAAGAGGGGATACTCTCTTTCTTGCACTTTATCGATGTCCCGAGCCAATCCATCCGCAATCTTCTCGTTCGTATCCCTTTTAATATGGATAGTACACCCTATGCCACCAACGGCTAAGTTTGTGTAAAAGCGATGACCAATGCTCATGCATATGCAGTGCTCTCTCTAGAGATATTGACAAAGATGGTCTTGTAGCCATCTACGACATAATGGCGCGAAACCGGAGGCTTCCAGCTATCTATTTCGTGTCACCACTGACGTATCTCTCTGCAGAGTTATTCGAGTGAACCACACAAAAGAGTAAGCAAAGGATATTTATGAACGCCTAATCCATTAATTTCTGTTGTTCAGGGCACTCCGTATCATTAGGAAGCCTGTCGGCTATGAAGTGCCTACCGTAACAACTCATGTATGGATTGAGCGATGCGAAGATTATCCCATCTTATTCCCATCGATTCAATGTGCAAAAGAGAAGAGGTGGTATATAATTTGGCCTCGAATTGGTGCTCTGATCCATTTTGTCGAGTGAGCTAAGTTTTGACCATAAAAGACCATTGCCAGCTTTGACCAAAGAGGGTATGGTTATGAGTAGTGGGTGGTTCTCCCATAACTAACCCACTCGTCGAGTCACATTCAGCTGATAAACAAACTAATAAAATGTAAAACTACGGAGTAAAAATAAAAGATAATCCCATCCCACGTACGTACGTGGGCTATGAAAGGTAGTGAGCGAAAAGAAAATACTGAATTCAATTCAATGGCATTTGAATGACAACAACGGTCATTAAACTGATGTACTTTCGGCCCAATATCCATATCAACACGGCCTCCAATTTCTTTTATTCACTCCTCTCCAGAACACCCCTGTTTTTAACAATTCCTCTTCCTCTCATGCGGATGCTAATTAAGCACGGATGAGAAAGACAAAAGCCATTTGCTAAAGATACCTGTCCTGTTTTCTTATGTTAACATTGGAATATTTTTAACAGACGCGCTAATTGCTGTGTTCGATCGCCGTTGGCACCAATATTCCCAACATATCTGATCAGCGAGATCTTCGCTAGAAACTGAGGTATGCCGGCAAGTGTTGGAACTAACTACAACAAAGCGCAAAATTGATCAGAACCAGCAGATATCGATATTTATTAGGGGACTGAAATGCTCTAACTTCAGATCTCTACTGTGGGTATCTTATTTTCTACATCTCCATCAAAGACGGCAAAAGGAATGAAAGAAAACCATTGCCCGTCCAAGTCCAACCGTGTTTCCTTGGCATTGAAAACAAATCAAATGTGTATTTTGAATATTTCTAAATACGCAAATGAGGCAGACACGACAAGAGACGCAAAAGTTCCTAGGAAAGAAATGGATATGCAAAGAGACAAACACAGGCCAACTACCCTTAATTGCATCTTGGATGGCGCGGGTTAATTGCGGTTCAGTTCGGGGTTTCCTGCCTCAAAGCCTCGCCTTACGATCTGCCTCCTCCTGCAACTTCTTCACCCTCTCCCATGCCAGTAAGGCAAACGGTCTCATCTGTTTACCATAATCACTGGCCCGGGAACTGCTTGCCTGCCTCAGTGCATACCGCGCTGCAATACCCTGCATAATCACAGAGCCCCTGAAGCCATGGAAAGCGTCGCCCCACGTCAACTCACCCCGAGGGTCCCATCCAGCAACCTCGCTATACCACCCAATCACGTCATCGCGTTTAGGCAGACCAGGGACAGTGTCAGGAGAGAAATGAACAGCATCAGAGACACTCGGGGCAGTGCCAACGTGCACATAAGGACTAGTGAGGTTACAGAGGTCCGAGAGCGGGTGGCCGATGGTGGCCATTTCCCAATCGAGGACGCCAATGACGCGGGGCTCAGTTTTGTGGAAGATCATGTTGTCGATTTTGTAGTCGCCGTGGACGAAAGTGGCGCGGTCCTGCGGTTGGGTTGCCTTTGTGGAGAAAAAACGCACCATTTCGCCAAAGTGCGGGATTTCACCGACTGGGATCTTGGTGTCGACATCTACGACCTTGGCTTGCGTCTGAGAGATGGTGGTGAAGGTATTGATTTGGCGATCGTAGAAGCCGTCGGGTCGCCCAAAGCCTCCCATGCCGATTGACTTGGGGTTCACGCGGTGGAATTTGGCGAGGGTGCGGACTGCGTCTTTCCATCTGTGATATTTTGATGTTAGTATATATTGCCCTTCTTCTTCTTTTTTTCTTTTAAATGTATGTGTACCGAGAGGAATTCTCACATTGCGTTTCTTTCTTGGGCGTCAACACCAGGGATAGCAGGGTCGACAAAATGTCGTCCGTCGAGGAATTCCATGATATAGAACGCTGTGCCGATAACGCTGTCATCTTCACACAGACAAATGGTCCGGGGAACTGGTACGTCTGTCTGTTCGAGTGCGTGAATGATTTGGTATTCTCTCTCTACCCGATGGGCAGTTTTCGAGAGCAGTTTTCCTGGGGGTTTCTTCCGCATGACACATTTTTGCCCATCGGCTGCGGTAAGCAGATAGGTTGGATTCGATTGACCGAAGCCGAACTGGAAAGGAAAGTCCCACGACACATGTCAGCAAGAATAAATTTTGTAAGCATGCCCCAACAGCTGCAAATAGCCATACCTGTTTCACATCCACTGGCGTTTTTACGCTCGGGACATTCTGGTTGAGATACCGCTCCAAGGCGGGCACATCGATAGGTTGTCGGACAACACCGGCCATGTTAAGGGACACGAAATGAACAGCACTGCAGTTGAAGTGGACTATATTTACCAATCCCTATACACAGCCAGGCCCGGACCAAAGGTCTTATAATGAAGATGCCAGGACCTAGCCGCCATTGCACGGCGAGAGTGCGCCGGCATAAAAAACCCTGGAGATTCCACGGCCAACTGCATCAACCGCGAGCCGAGGCTAACTAACTGCATCTCTAGTAATTACGGATTAGTTAACTAATTAACTAGTTAAAGCCAACTGCAGCCTGAGGCTAACCGTATAGAGTTAGCGGGATTGTTTAAATCATGTGATCGACAGACGCGCCGAATTTCGCGACAGAAAACGCGCCAAGGACATTATCTCTATCTATTTAGCTTCTTGAGTCGTTAACTGTGGGATTGACATCGTTCAACCGAGAGGAAACGACCGCCGTTTATGCATTCTTTACTCCGTGCTTGAGACTCTTTTTTGTAGTAGAGCTTTCTATTGCTATCAACCCTCGACTCCAAGCGGCCCTTCCTGGACAGGATACAGCTTGGGCCCAGACGCTGGCAGCTTCTCTCCACATCCCATGCCCTACCATGACCACAGAGACGACCCCTCGTCCCCAAACAAAAGCATCAGCAGAATCAACTACAGTTAACCATCCACCACCCTCCCTCCCCAGTTCCCCTCTCCCAAAACGCGCAAAGATAACAGACATGGCCCCTGCCACGGAATCCTTCACAGCCCCCGCGGCAGCCTATTCAGAAACAGCCACCAGCACAAACCCCGCAGTCACCTCCCTCTCCCAATTAACCCCGCCTCCCCTCATGGTCAAGAAACTGGTATCCACAGCCCGCGCACCAACTCGAGGTTCAGCTTTCGCGGCCGGATATGACCTGTACTGCGCAGCTCCGACGGTGATTCCAGCTAAAGGAAAGGGCCTGGTTGATACAGGACTTGCAATTGCTGTCCCGGAGGGAACTTGTATGTACATTCTTTTATCTCTCTATCTATCTATATATACTGTATCAGTTGCTAATTAATAACTGCTGATGCCATATAGATGGACGAATAGCACCCCGTAGCGGCCTTGCGTCGAAACATTTCATCGATACTGGTGCAGGTGTCATTGATGCTGATTATCGCGGGGAGGTGAAGGTCCTGCTCTTCAATTTCTCGGATGCGGATTTTACCGGTATGATTTCCATCCCCGCTTACCCTCCGTCACTTTGTGATAGCTGCTATTATGATTATTTATTTTTGACTTATTTACTTTCTTCTTTATGGGTTTCACTAATCTCCAATTGCGAAAAAATTTAAACAGTTAACGAAGGTGATCGTATTGCCCAACTGGTTCTCGAGAGGGTAGGTGAATGAATAAATAGAACAACACTGCTCATTTTAACCAAACCAAGGTTCATACAATCCGGGTGTCGCTAACTATGTCAATGTTGCAGATCTACAATCCTGAAGTCCTGGAAGTGGAAGAACTGGAAGAGAGTGTCCGTGGCGTTGGAGGCTTTGGAAGCACAGGATAATTGTGTTTTATCAGGGGGGATCAACAGTTTATGTGAGAATGACTTGATATCATGCCAATTTTTTTTTTAATTCTTTATTTTGGAGATATAGAAAGATTTTTCGAAATGAGAAAAGGGCAATGTAATCTCTTGAACCTTAAACTTCGGAGGGCTGGGATCAGCTTGCTGCCCAGTTTCTAATTTTTGTATATTACGTATCGTACTCAATATCCTGTTCTTATAGGATGATTTGTTCAAACTTCACCTTGGGGGTTTTTGAGGGTTTCTTTTTAACGCAAGAAGAGCAGACAACTGTGCTGCCTTCGTCTGCCTTCATATGGACAGAAGAGAAAAAGAGCAGTATGAGTTTCTATAGATATGACATAACTAATTCAACCGAAAAGCTTTGCGTTACATCTACGTCCATCTATGCATTTATATAAAAAACCCGCTACCCCTACCAAGTATATAGATAAATCTATCCCAAAGACAAAAAATCAAACCCCAAAGATTTGCAGCTTACCAAGGTACATACATATGACTCAATCCAGCAAAGGTGACCTCACACCCTTACGCCTTCCACTCCTCCGCCACAAACTCCACCCCAACCGGTCTCTTCAACAACTCCACGTTCCTCACAAGCCTTACCTCCGCCGCCTTCGTCGCGCGCAGATACGCCCTCTTCTCCAGCGCCGCCTTGCGTTCTGCAGCAGACAGTCCCGCAAACTCAACCGCGTCCTCCGCTTGCTGCGCCTCGTCATGATCCGGTCGATACCGAGCTAGCTCAGCACTTCGCTCCTGCATGGTTTTTTCGAGGATACAGTGCATGATTGCGAGGGCTTTTACGGTGGACTGGGCGAGGGGGAGTCTGGTGGCCGGGACGGTGTCTGGAGATTGCCAAGAGGGGGTATTGCGGAGGAGAGGGGTTGATGGGGGTGGAGATGATGAGGGTGCAGTTGACTTGTTAGTGGCGCTGGGGTTTGAGTCGCGCTCAACACCATTTTGAGCATCAGCGGCGAACACGGCTTCTCGTAGCAGTGCTACAGTTAGCGCGGCGAACATGTCCCCCGTCCCGCTGAAGAAGCAGTCTAGGCGGGGAACTTCCACTTTGAAAAGGCGCGGACTCCCGTCGGAGCGTGCGGTGGAGCCGACTATGCTCAAGTTGTCGGGCCGCGAGGATCCTGGGTTAGAGGTGGTGCTGTCTGCTGCTGTGCAGGGCAGCTGGATGGAGGTCACGATGATGTGAGGGACATTGTAGATGCGGTGGAGAGCCGTGATGGCGTCAGTGAGATCGGAGAGGTAGGTTATCTTTATCCCGGAGAGGAGCCTAAGGTAGGTATGTTAAGATTTCTCTTTGTTGATACTCACTATTCAACGCTATGGGTTGAGGTCATGTGAAAAGGGGTTGGTTGGCGTTATGGAATGGTATGCAGCACAGCCACAAAAAATTAAAATATATAAAAAACGAAAAAAAAAAATGATAATAATAAATTTGAATGAATATATAACGACTTACTCTGCCTCAAATTGGTTTGGCAAGATCAAATCGGCATGCGGTATTATTCTTTTGTACGCAGGTACAACATCCTCGTTCACGTAGATCCGTCCCTGATCACCCATTACCGGGTCAAGAACTGTTATGAAAGTTCTATTCAGTATTCTCCTTTCTAAGAAAGAGTTTTCCAAGGATGAAGAGATTAAAAAAAAAAAAAAAAAAAAAAAAAAGAGCGCACCCCAGAAAAATGATCCCGGTTTTGAGCGCGATTTCCGGCGCAAGTCCATGGCGATTTCACCAACAGCGTCCACGGCTGCAGCGCTAGGCGCATACCCAGACAACAGGACATCAAAATCGGTCAGGTAGTTTTGCTTCAGCCCAGCATACAGAGCAGTTATGTCTTGTGCAGTGGATTTCGTTCCCTGAACCTGGCCGTAGCCAGTGTGATTACCTGCGTGTGATTGTAGGCAGTGTGTAAGCAGGCGATCCGGAGCAATTATATATATAGAAATGTTCAACAGGTAACTTCCCCCCTTTTAAAGGGGGATGGATGACTTTGGGGGGCTCACTAAAATGGACGGTATTTATGGCGGCGACTTCACATCCCAATGATTGCATGACGAACGTTGCCATCGTGTTACCGACATATCTATTCCGTTTTGCATAGGAAGCAATTAGAAAGGTGTCTCGCAGTGCAAAAAGAGTTAGCAAGCATGACACACTCATGCCGGGCACTTTTGCACATCAACAACGTGATTTAAGTTTCAGCAGACTCTGCGTATCTCTAAAGACAGCCAAGTACATCAAGTACGTCAAGTATCTCCAGTCCTCAATCAGAGTGTGCTTAGAAACAACAAAATTCAACAGGGACAGAGTATATCAGTTGGTAGTTTACGGCGTTTAACCGATGTTATGTCTAACATGATGTACAGGAAAGACAGAAGAAGCCACCCACCCATATGCCACCTTAACCAAAAGTCAGCCATGATCTTATATGTACATCGGGGCAATCATATGTGGGAGATGAGTGTGGGGATATGTCATACATGGCTTGCTATGGCCAGCACGCGGGTCTCAGGGTCCTGCGAATCCGACGTCATCTGAAAATACCAATATAGTACGAGTCAAGAATGCAGGGACTTGGGGAGTGAGGGGATGGAAGGGATGAAAGAGGGGTAGAAAATGCTGCAAGGGCGGCAAATATGAACAGTATAACAAAATGAAATGGTTCCCTTAGATGATTTATATATTTGAGAGGCTGACAAGTCTTGATTTGGGAGCTGTGAGGCTGTAACCTCGGACGCTGAGATTCATGAATTGGATGTTGACTTGAACAACTGATCAAAATGGCGAGTCAGGTTTGGAGTTTGGCGGTTGGAGTTTATTATTACCTTAACTTGGGCCTATTTAACCGTGGATCAGCCAGCCAATAAGTAACTACATATACGAGAACAGTTTATGTAGACCAACCTGTGTCCACGGAGACTTGACTCCTATGGATTTGCACGCCAAAGAGATGGAATTTCAACAGTGTATAACGACACCGCAATCAAAGTCTGCAGTTGCTTGATTAATGCATGCACCTTCATGCGCTGTTGTTCCATTAGTTTGGCATAGCTTGTTCACTGCTTTCTATCAATCTTAGTTGCTGATATGCACTCCCTCCTCAGCTTGGTATTTAATGGAATTCTGCCATATCTTCATGCCTGCAATGACACTTCTGTCTCATCTCCAACGATTTTACGTCCCGAGTCCACTCCGTCCAGAGCTTGGCCTGGCTCCATCTTCCGGTGGCTTGGGACTTGAGCTGAAGGGGGGGGGTTGTCGGAGCGGACAAATGTTGGTCCATGACTAAAGCATGTTTTTCATTTCATAACTTAACTAAGATCGATGAAACTGTTCAACCGCAGCATCCGTCTTTTGTAAACATAAACCCCCCAACTTCAATTGCTCTCCCACTCCCGTTGCCTGCTGGTCTAATACTCTCTGCTTCCTTCTGCTCCCTGCACATATATAAACATTGGCCCCTTCAATTGGCCGTCCCACGAGACAAGCAGCATTCACACTAAACCATGGATCACCCAATGCCCATAACTGTCCTCATCTCCGGCAACGGATCGAATTTCCAGGCTGTAATCGATGCAATCCGCGCCGGAGAACTCCCTGCCAAAATCGTCCGTGTAATATCTAACCGGAAAGATGCTTACGGGCTCGAGCGGGCCAAAAAGGCCAACATCCCTGCCCACTATCACAATCTAGTGAAGTATAAGAAACAGCACCCGCCTACGGAAGAAGGGGTTAAACTGGCTCGTGAGGAATATGATAGAGAACTGGCAAGATTGGTTCTGGACGATTCTCCAGAGCTGGTTGTCTGTCTGGGGTTCATGCATGTGCTTTCCCCCACGTTCTTGGACCCGGTCAAAGGTGCAAAGGTCAAAGTCATCAATCTGCATCCCGCATTGCCTGGCCAGTTCACCGGCGCTGTAAGTATATATTCATGCGTGCATACATATAATTGTCCAGTTCCCACAGCGATCGGATAAATGTAACCTCTGCTGATTTCAACACGGCATATAGAATGCTATACAACGCGCCCATGCCGCCTGGCTGGAAGGAAAGATTGATCACACCGGAGTCATGATCCACGACGTCATACCCGAAGTGGACTTGGGAGTCCCCCTTCTTGTCAAGGAGATCCCCTTTATCAAGGGCGTGGACGAGGATCTGAGCGCCCTGGAGCAGAGAATCCACGAAGTGGAGTGGAAAGCCGTTATTGAAGGGGTGGGAATCGCTATTCGAGAGATCCATCTTATCAGAGGCTGCCCACTTCCGGAAAAGAGGGTAGGCACCAACGGGACACAGGGGTGAGGGGTAAAAATATATCCAGATATATATATTGCTTGGTTGACTTGGGCTTTGGAGACGGACTAATAAATCCCTCCAACCGTCGTTGGCGCCTGGTACGAAGAAGATGATATCTTAAAGGAAATTCAACATCGACATGTGAAATGAAGCTACGTATGACATTGATGGACACACCAAGGGGGCCACCTCTATTATTATAAGCAGTGGTATAATCACCCAATCCTTATCTTCAGAGCTCGCTCGGTTGCGGCTTCACCGAATTGAGCGAAGAAGCCAACCCGCCTTTCGTTCAAATTTTGGTCTTAGATATGACCTAGCCCAAGGAACGATGTATGCGGGGGCGATGTTTGGAATCGGCCAAACGAGTGGAACTTCCATAATATATCTAAACGTGGTGGATTCTAAGGGTCAAAACGAAATGCATCGAACTGTCTGTGAGAGATCTATACTGCCATATCCTTTCTATCTCTTATATTATGTTACCTACGAAGGCAGGTAGCTAGCAGTTTTTAGGAAATACCTACCTAGTTATACCTGCCCCATACTTACCACTACAAACCTTCGGACAACCCCAATTGAAAAATTCTAGCTTGAACCCTTTTCTTTCCAACTTCTGGATACTCGCCGGAATCTACGCAGTAGGAAAGCAACGAATATGGACCAGAAACATGACATACGCCCATAGCCAGCTCGGGGTTTGGTGTACTTCAATGGCGCAACGACGACAAAATTGCATGATGCATGAATATAATCTTGATCCCCCATCAAATCCATTCGAACAGGCTAGGGAGTTGGCGCCTTTCAGCCAACCGTGCCCGAGCAGACTATTGATAACAACTCACAAGGGAGCCCTGGAATCACCTTAGCTGTTGTTCACGTACATAGCAAACTGAAAACATCTCATGGAGGTTGGTAGAAAATGCCTCGCCCGCCCGGTTGACCCATGTGCGCGCATCGGGTGAATAGCGGATCCAATCACATGGAAAATGTATAGTCTGTTTTTGTCTGGATATCCATCGTGGAATATCACCCCGCTCTCTGTCCCTGCAGTACTCCGTATGCATCTTCAGGGATCTATCTTTTTGGCTACCTACCAGTATGTGCCATGGACAGGTACGATGTATGGACTTCACATACACGTGCAGATAATAGGCGCTATGCATGGATCTTCTGGCGCTGTGCATCTTGATCGTTGGAGCGAGGCCAGAATATCTTACTGCTATCCAAAAGCTAGAGGGGTTCATGATTGAGGATTGTCACCCAATGCTGGCAGAAAGCCGGAGATGCCAGGACGAGAGGACAAGGATTCCACTCCAACGTCATCCTCCTGAAGCGTCCATGTATGGCTGTCTGGCCTGCTTCGGAGAGCCTGATCTAGTCACCTACCTAATTATTTATGTGCCCTTTATATAGTCAGTGATAGTTTTCCGAGTTCTAAGCGAAGAAAATAAGTTACGTTGACGGCGCTTATTCAGGCCCCTGTGGCCCCCCCTGTTGTTCAAAATGCGGAATACTGAATTTGGGTAAAAAGGTTGAATGCGTGGGCATGTGTAAGCGGAATGTTAAAGGTGCATGGGGTTTCTTAGATATTATTCATACTTGGTTGAAAGTGAGGAATGATCATGGTAGAAGGCTGTGAAGTTGCTGATGATGAACAGCAATGAAGAACAAACCAGTCGAGATGCGTCATCACATGAGCATGCATCAATGTTCGCCCTTCATAGCCATCGCACCACACTTTGATTTGCTGATTATCAACCGCCTTTTGATGAAGCATTTGCATCCACTAACAGTGTTGAGTATCCATGGATAAGTTCGAGAACAACGGCTCCTGGAGTCCAATGGTGAACTGATTCGGCCAGCTCCACTTTGTTAAATCCTTACCTGCCAAATGTCAGTTAAACTACGGAATAACCGGTTTTTAACTAAATATCTGCCTATTATCCAGCGTCACCTTGCCAGCAAACCAACAGGATCATCTCCACAACTGCGATTATTAAGTATCAACTATCACCCCTTGGCTCGAATAACCACTCCTTTTCAGAGCCCAGCTCAAGTTGAGGCTTTCGGCTAAGGCTCCAAGAGGGCTATCTCTCCTAGCGTGGGCTGTCGACCCCAGCTGAGGAGGGAATTGGTTACCTGCGACCAGACAAATTTCGCTTAAATGCCACTATCACGCCTTGTGGGTTCTGGGCCACGGGTAAAAAAAGGGGTTGTCGCGCGTAAAACTTCTCCCGGAATCCCACGACAACCAGCGCCGGTGCTGGTTGATCCTGACAGCGAGAGGGAAGCGAGCTGGGGGCTTTGTTCGATCCATACAACGGGGCGGCTGCACAGGTATTTCCAGCGTTCAGATTCAGGATTCGACCATACATGCCATCATTGTTTGGATGGCTGGATACAACATACTAGGTCATCCGATTGTGGTTGAGTGGGGAACCATCTCATGTCACTGTTCATCCATAGGCGATGCTTGAACCACGAACATTATTGAAGGTCATGGCTGTATTTCGGCTTTCGTTGGTTCGACATTAAATGATAAACGCAATGCTATCCGTTTTGCCCTGGTGGGGCGGGCGTGCTGGCGGATGTTAACCTCTTTGGACCTTGGGAGCTTTTACCCTGCCATCAACATTCATGCAATCTCGATATGCACATGGATATACTGAGTAGTGCATGGGGATATGAAAAGGCACAAATACCTAGTCATCAACTGTCAACTTACAAAGGCCTCAATGGTCTACAGTGCAACCCTGTATCCTGTTGCACCCAGGATGCTACTACATTGATATTCGAATTTCTTACCACTGGAATCCCTGAGGATCGAGCAGACCCCTAAATGAATCACCCATAATAATCAGCAACGACCAGGTTTCAGGATGTTCAGCAGCACTCAAGATTGTGCCAAGCAATTCACTTTTGATTTTAATGATGCTAACGGGGAATTATTCGCACTTTGCCCTAAACACTCCGCACACGACAGTGACCGTCGGGATACGTGGACGCCATCGCTACTACGTGTATTCTCTCCATCAATTGTTGCCCAAATGGAGAATCATTAATTACCACCAGGGCAACAGGATGATATTATCATTTGTGTGGTATCTTAACTAATAGTATAAACTGGGAGCTGACAATATTTTCTTTTCCTCCACGTCTCCTCCAGCGCGTCTCTATGAATAACGAGGGTGAGGTGGGGACCATCGGCCCTAATTGGATCTCCTGACAGATCACAATCACGGTCTCTTTCTGGAATATTTCTTACCCAACCCGCAAGCTCGTGTCTTATTTTAGGGTTCCAGACCACGCCACCCCTCGCCGTTTAATTACTCTTTTGTGTAGGGTCTTCCCATGCTTGATGGACTCGAGCCGCTGCCAAACAAATTCTGTGCTGCTTTTACCAGATTATGGCGTAAACTCTTCGCTCGCTTTGCTACTCTCATATGCTGAGTATTTCGCCAAAGAAAAAGTCCATCATCCCTTCTCCTTCACTCTGCCTTTTCACTGTGCTTTTGTCAGGGTGGTTCAGAGCAAAGAGACACCGTGGATATCTGCGTTTATTTGCGCTGGCTCAAATCACTGACATGATCTAATCTTATTGTTGATTTGGACCTGGGTTCCGCTTCCAACCCCGACAACCACCTCCACACTCGTTTAGTATCCATTCGTTTTTTCCTTCATGAGTGTTCTACGGAGATGCTCACTTGACATCTCTGTACAAGCCTGAGCATTCCCACGATCTCTACCTTTTGGCTTGACTATTCTTCTTTTAATATTAATTATGCCTTTGCTGCGGCAGCGGTGGAGGTCCCGACCTAGCTGGCGGTGTCCAATGCCAGTGTCAATGCTTGCTTCTGTTTCGCCTCCAGTGTCGCTCCTGACCTGCCTTTTGTTGCTTGTCTTGTGCTCATCTCCAGCATCTGCCATGCCACAATCTCCTGCGAAACAGCAAGGAGTCAACGTAAACCAATTTGTTGAGGTTCCTGGCGCTAATCACCACGTTGATTATTCGTTGATGGCGAATAAAAACGGGGGAGGCGATCTGAGGGAGATCTTTGTCGATCTCCATACCATCCCTGCAGAACCACGCAGTGAAGTTCCTCTGCAACGACGGGGCGATCCTCAAAACAGAGCAAAGGCCAGGGCGATTGAAGGATCCTCTTCAACTTCCATTGTCAGCTCCACCACAAAGGGGTCATCAACTTCATCGGAACCAAGAAAGAGTTCTTCTTCCTCCACATCCGTATCAGCATCCGTATCCACCTCCACATCTGACCCCACGACAAAATATACTGGACCCACCAAGACAGACTCCCCAACTGAAAAGACAGACTCTCCCACCCCAACGGGCTCAGGCAATGATATCCCCCTCCCTAGCCCTTTCGACAGTAATCTGGGTTCCAATTTCACAAACCCCGCCTGCCCCATATTCTTTCAAGATTTCCTCACCAACGCCTCCTTCCAGAACTGTTATCCTGTCTCCCTTCTTCTCCAATCCTCTCTCTCTTTCTTTGAAGCGTCGCGCTCCGTTGCTCGCCTCTCCCGAATCCTGGACGCCGCCTGCTCTGCTCCCCGAGATGACTGCAAAGCAATCATGAGCGACCTAGCCGCGAAACTCACCTCCAAGGAAGTTTGTGGCGAGGATTTTAGGCTCCAGCAGCCTATCGTCATTCAAGCACACAACGGTCTCCGCGCATACACGGCGGTCTACGACGCTATGTGCCTCAAATCCCCGGACACTCATAACTACTGCTTCTCTGACGCGGTCGTAAATGGTACCAATCCATCCAATTCGTTCATATACTATTTACCCCTAGGCATGAATCTTCCAGGCTCCAGTCGCCCGACTTGTAACAAGTGTCTACAGGCAACGATGCAGTCCTTTTCTCGCGCGGCAACGACAGATAACCAACCCATCGTGAAAACATATATGCCTGCTGCCAATCAAATCAATATTAATTGTGGGCCGGCCTTTGTTGTCTCAGCGGTTAAAGTTGGTAAGGATACAGGGGCCGGGTCGACAACGAGGATGGTGAAGGGGACCTCTTTACTGAGGATTATGGGTTATATGATCCTATTTTGTGTGGGGATGCCATTGCTTGGTGGACTTCTATGATAATGTGTTTTTATTCTTCTTGCTATCCATATTTATTATGATTTTTTGATTTTTGATTTTTGATTCTGATATTACATATACCTTCTTGAGCATATTGGGATAATAAATTGGGAGCAATGGTGGATAACTTTATGTTTTGTATTTATATTTGCATTCTCTTTTCTTTCCCAAGTGAAAGAAAGCTCATTCACATTGTCTCCAATCCCTCTACAATAGATTCCCTCCACGAGCATCCGCACATGGTTGGCTGAAGATACATATCTCTAACCTTCCAGACATCGTATCCATCTAATCTGACGGTGACGGCAGCACGGTTACTCACAACTGATGACTTGTTCTATCCTATTCAAACGGAGTTGCTACCCGCTGATTGCTATACGTCTTTTTCTTCCCAGTTCTGACCAAGCGGCTGGCTTTAGTTCACACTAGCCATCTATGCATGGTGCATTGATATACGAGTCCACTGACCGGGTATGTTCAGCAAACAAAAAAAAATTCCAAAAGCTTTTATATGCTTGTACCTATCTCTTGGAGTTCGGATAGATGTGAACGGAAAATATACGCAACATACTTCCATTATTAGGTTTCCTCGATATCATTCTCATGTCGTACACTGGAGAGCTACAGAAGAGCAATGGAATAGAATGCCTTGTAGCTCCAGTGCTTTCGTCAGGAGCGGAATTACCGTAAGTTAACCATATGGCTAACATCCCCTGTGTACCACAACGCGATGTAGTTACCCGTATTTACTATATATACCCTGACAGCACTTGCATGCATATATCCTTCTTGGTTATTTCTCCGAACACTTCAACTTCTGCCCCTTCCAGCAATCTCATACCTCATCCTCCAACCGTTAAACAGGCCCAGTCGTCCAGAAGCATCCTTAGGAAAGAAAAGACCGACCAAGGCTGATATTATATCTATCGCGCGAGTCGGAGAGAACCAATATACTCACTTATTTTCCCTCCATACCTTCATCCACTGTCCAGTTTTTCAGTTTTCGCATCTTCCCTATCAGTCACCGGAACCCCCCCCATGTCACGGACGAATGCAGGATACCTTTTGAATCGGCGCAGCAACCCCCTGAGAGTATTGCCCCGGCGGCCATTTTCGATATGATCGCAGAGCATTCCAAATTGTTCTCCAATGGACGAAGCCACGTCGTCGACCTGATGGTATTTGGCCTGTATCGTCTGATAGATACAAGATGAGAGCCTTCTCATTGTCGACATGGGGGTGGATAAGCTCCTGGCCACAGGGGATTTTCTGACGGATAGAATTTTTGGGTTATATTGGGCAGTTGGATTCTGCGGAGGGATGTGGTTCTGGGAGAGCAGGAGTCAACGCACTGGGAACCTCCGCGAACGTTTGAGGGTTTATGAGCAGAACCAGGCATGGCATGGCACAGGTTTCGTGTAATGATAACATAGGCATTAGATCGTTGGACCAGTATGTGCTGTCAGAGGTGTTAAAGTATTCCGCCTTGATATTCCTTATCCCCCGTACTTCTTGTTGATGGGGTCAGGGGAGTTCGAGGTGGTGATTTCATTGTAGTTCCTGCGGTGGAGTTGTCCCCTTGCGTAGCTGGTTTTGGCCAAATTATTGATCTCTGAAGAATTTGTGAAAGGAATTGGCTCAGAAAATATGTGTAGCTTGAAATTAACAAAGGAAACAAATGAATATTTACTTCCGCGTATCAGCTCTTCCGTCAGGCATTAGGCATTAAATCATAATACGAGTAGAAGTTTGCATTTTGCGCAAAAAAAGGATAACTACATATCTAGATACATACATTAAGGGTATTCGTTTCAGCCTTCCTAACAAAATAAGGATTTTAACATTACGGAGACAAGGAAAAGCAAACCGTATAAGATGTAGAACGACGGCCGTCTTAGCACCTTCGTAGCCAAAAGCAGAATATCAAAATTTCCATCCATACGAATCAGAACACGAAGTGAGATAGATAGAAATGAGAAACCGAGTGGAGGAATAGGTGCGTGTAATGTGTTGGCGTGGAGGGAGCGAGGGATAAATGTCTTGTATGAAAAGCCGCAGAGAAGGTTGATGCTAATGACAATAATACAGAATGGCTTTTAGTTTTCGATATATATGCATTACAGATGCCAAGAAGGGCCAATATGGCTAACGGAAATATATATGATATACACATCGTAGGTAAACATTTGGTTTGTGTTGGATATCATGGGAAGGTAAGCACTAAGCGTGTGGTGTAGTTATGATCATGAGCGATTAAAGAAAAAGAAATCTTCATTGGACAGGATTGGAAAACGTCATGGATGGGTAAAACAACGATGTGAGGGAATTGAAGCTACAGCTACCATCACGAAAAATGTGTAGTTTATGCACGACTTGTATCAGGTCATAAAGGGGAGGGCATTTGCGGACCACGGGAGAAGGGGGCTATAAAAGTCTAGCTTCTTCTGCCCCACGCTTTCGCAGATGATGAGTCTGTGAAAGACGCTCTACCGAAGTTCTGCGGATCTTCAGTTGGGCTACATTTCTCCGCATCCCTGTCCCTTTTTACTCTAAAATAAGCAAGCTTCGTGAACCTGCTTAGCTGTGCCCAGAAATGACGTCCAGCTTCATGAGCAGAAATCCGGTCCAACAGGTCGACAACTGCTTCTCGTACGGTTAAATTGGGATGGAATAGGCCCATTGAGATGTAAAACAGGCCAGCCTGACTCTCCGGTGTGACTGTTAGAAGTTGGCATATCGAACTGTAATCATTGCAAACGCGAGAGAGGGCGAGATAAATCTGTGCTGAGTCTGCGTGGCTAAGTTTAAGCAAGCGCAGCCGATCATGATGGTGGTGGATGTCGATGGATTGGACGGGTCTTCCAACTAGATAGAGTGCAGCTGTATCTTGGATGAAGTAGTAATATGAGCGTGTGTTTCTCCAGCCTTCGATTCGGGATACCCAGGCTGTTAGTTCGCGTTGTTTCGTGGCAACATCGGGCCAGACGTATCCGTGCCCGCGTAGGGACGTTGGATCAGAAGGGTCGGATTGGCGACCAGATCGACCATCAGCGGAATCCCCACCAGAAATCATGATATGGAGTGCCGTAGCTCCATAGACGGTTTGCTCGAATGTAGCGGAAATCCTGGTAAATTTTGTGATGTAAGCCCGCCATTTTGCACGAATCGCCCCCTCTCCGTGGCGTGATGCAATGCTATGGAGGATATCTTCCATGAAAGCGGAGTCACCTGTTAGATCGGCTGTGGAAGGTGCGGAATTGATCACAGAGGGAGCGGATAAGTTTTGCTGTTGGAAATACAGAAATCCCTCCGAAACGGGAGCAGGTTCGATACAACTGCTTATTTTCATGCGGCCGCTGGGAAGATCGCAGAGAAGGTCCCACCACTCGGGATGGTTAGCAAAAGCTGGGTTAGTGACACCAGCCACAAAACCGGGAACTTTCAACAGTTCATCTATTTTAGTGAGATCGGTATACGGAAAGGCATGCCGTGTAAAGCCACGGAGTATGCCTCCTGATGCTAAAGAACATGCTGCAAGAACCGCCTCAGCAACTTCACCAGACGGTCGATTGTGACCCAGGAAAATAACACGTTTTTGAGTAAGCAAAGCATTAACCAAGACGATTATAGGATGCGTATATGCTCCGCTGCTGGTAAGGTGAGAGTGGAGGGCAAAGGGTTGAGGTGAGCTGGAATGAGGTCCACCAAAAGTTTGGATGAGTTTGATGAGAGAGAAGTCACCGACTGTTTCCGGCGAAATGGCAGAAGGAACTTTGACTGGAATTGCAATATCGTTATAAATAATTTTGGACTCAAATTCATGGGTATCTCTGGGGAGTGCGTATTTCGGGGTGGATAAGCTTCTTTGAGGAGATCCTTTGCTGTCGTGCGAGATCCTTTCCTCCGCTAACCTTTGCTTAACCATTTGCTCGAATTTTTCAATAAACATGTCTTTTGCGTCACTAGCCTGTAGGATATGGCGTTCAAGGTAGGTAAGTCGGGGTAACAGCGAAAGGTCCATTGCGTTCAGTGAGTTATACAAGGCTGCCAGTGTTTCCGGGAACGGTGATTTAAAATAATCTTCCAATGCCAATAGGAGTAAGGGCTAGAATGGTCAGCCGATAAAGGCTAATTAACAGTGAAATGAGGATGTTGCATCTGTGTGACAAACCTTATATATATGAAGAAAAGAATGCCGTGTACATATTGCCATGGCCTTAACTACAGCTCCCCTAAAAAATAATATCAGAGGTAAGCAGAGAGAATGAATGCAACGGGAGGCAACGGGGTCAGCCATATACATACCGCTTTACCGATGTATCTTGTTTTGTGTTGACAAGATTTAACACATACATGAGCGGGGGGCCTTCCCCATTTTCTTCATCCTCGTCCTCGATCTCGTCTTCATCACCCACTGATACCTCAGAACCACCATCATTCAATCCCTCATTTTCTTGTCTTATCCTACTATTTCCTGCTTGTTGGTCCACGGAGGAGTCTCCACACTCCTGCTCTTCCTCCGACCCCGCATCCTTGTGAAGGAAAAATATAGTCCAGTCCTGACTGCGAACATGAGTTTGATCGGGTAACATGAGCTCCGCCAACATATTTTCATCACCGCTGATCGCACTGGGATATTGGTGTTCCATGATTGGACCGCGGTCCACGTGGAACGAAGCCACGAGGATATACTCGACATGCAGCTCGGGAGAGTCTAGGGGATATTGTGATTTTAGTCTCCGTCGTTTGGCCTGGAAGCTATTGTATGATCGAGTAGAACGTGGTCGTAAGGATGACATCGAGCTATTTGGCGATCTCCGGTGCAGAGATGTCTGGGAAGGAAGTTTTCGAGGTCCATTTTGGTTGGATTTGCATGAAGTGGAGGCACTAGAGGTGGGGAGTGACGCAAACGAAGTATGCCGCTCACCAGACAAGCGGTCTGAAGGAAGACGGTGGGATACACCACTCATGACTGGGATGTATAGAGGAGAATATTGCGCCGGTGAGCGAGAATGAATGACATGAGCATACTCATGTCTGGTGATGTATAGTTTAGTTAGCTAATCGGTAGGCAAGGCTGGCTTGTTTAGACCTTAGTGGGCAGCATACCATAGATGGTGGTAAATCGTCGTCGGGGGTGGAGAAAGTTCAGGGGCAGGTGTCCACGGGTACCGAAAGCCAAAAAGACGTATACCACGGCGCTATCTTGGAGGGCCCAATCAAACCATCCCGCCGCAGACGCAGCAACCGAAACCAGATGTGTGGCAATGGCTGTAATCCATGATCCTGAAGGTATCTGGATGTGAATATCATAAATGTTATGTTGCTGTATGATGGATGTTGTCTATCTGCTTCGATTTCAACCGTCTTCATTTCATGTGTCTCTGAGCATGCAACGTGCCACATGGCGGATGGTTAGGTAAGCTGTCCCGGAGAATCAATAGTCCGATTGTTTACTTGATGAATATCAGACTAGGCTTATCTGCAACAATGAACAAACGACAACGACAAAGACAGGAAAACAACTATTTGGGAATAGAATACTAGAGAGAAGAATCCATTTCGATAGTGTTATTGATGTACATACATCGCCAATATGGTAAGATCGCATTCATCAGCATCTGAAATACTATTATTTCTCCCGATGAATTCCAATAACATCATTCTGTTCGCAGGTCACGCCTAATACGACACCTTACAAACCGTCTCCTCTCTCCTTTGGTTCGACTCGTACTTCTCCCTTCCGACGACCATCCGTTGCTGCTTCTCCCACTACAGTTATCCGTCCCAATACCGCTGGCAGTCCTGGCAGCAGGGCAACCACGCCCATCCAGTCCCCCAGCAAACTAAATCAATCGCATGCTGCAGACAATGTATCTGTCTTCTCAGATACCCAGAATTCTCCATTGGCCCAAAAGTCCAGGGAAATCGCAGCACCACCAACTGGAGCGTCCCATGTGCGAACTGGCAGCACATCTTTGACGATGGAATTGAAAGTGGCAGACCGATCAGCTATGAACAATGACACTCTGGGCAAATTACCACCGGCCCAGCTACGGGAATTGCGCGAAGCCTTCCAGGTTCTCGATCGTGACAATGACGGGCAGGTCAATCGGGACGATGTTGTCGATATTCTGGTCAAGTTAGGTATAGCCAAAACCTATCCTACATGATTAGCGAAGTCACTAAAAATTATTTTCTGGCGTAACTAACCCTGTCTCTCCCATTTAGGACAAGATTCCTCCCCGTTAGTTACTTCTCAGTACTTCCCACCCGGGGCACCGCAAACGCTCAACCTCCCAACATATCTGAACTCAATAGCGAATCTGCTTGCTCCGCTCTCGTCCGCACAGGAGCTTCTTAACGCACTTGCAGCTTTTGATGAAGACGACAGCGGCCAAATAGACCTGGAAGAGCTTCGGGATGCGCTGCTTAGCACAAGTCCCGACGCGGGCGAGAGTCCGCTGACAGCGAGAGAAGTGGACGAAGTGGTCAAAGGGTTTACAGGCAGGAGGGCATTTGGATCCAAGGGAACGAGATCAACCGGGTTTGGCGGAGCAGCAAATCGATCAGAGGTATTTCGGTATCAGGAATTTGTTGGTAGCCTGACGGGTAGCACGGCAGTCACCGCAACAGCCGCTGTAGGTGGGATCACAAAGGAACAGTGAATGAACAATGCCCGGTGATGATGGCATTTTGTTATTTTATTTCACTTTACTTTATCCTTTTGGGTTTGGACGGGCGTATCGGGAGTTGCTTGGGTTAAATGCATGATAATCAGCCTTTACCACAGGATAACTATAGATATAAGTATACAATACCGCGTACCCCATATACAACGGTCAACATATCGTGGGATGAAAGTTCAAGGTCAACAATCACTTAATCCGGGATAACATTCCCCCGCAGCATCCACGTGCTGTGTATTATTTAAGCAAGGCGCCAAGAACCCGCGCCAAGTTTGCTGGTGAGGAAATTCCCCACATGCAATAACAACAACAAACAACAAACAACCAACAACCAACAACCAGCTATTGGTGTGTATACTGGTATATATATGGATTGAGGCGATGTGTACAGAGGAGTCCAACAGCATAATCAGCAGCTCAAAGAATGGCCGGATAGCTGGGTTACCACCGCTCAGCTGCCACGGTATACAATTCCTAGTAATTGTCTCTATATTACTCCCTGCGCTCAACTTCATCTGGAAGCCATGATATCGGCCGGTCCCCATCTCTCCTTGCATCGTTAATCCACCCCGCTATTTCTCCGGACCAACAGGTTTACCACGCTGAATCAACAATGAGCTCGAAACACCCGCCCCAGTTCCAGTTGCCCTCCGTGGCGGGTTCTCCAACTTCACCGCAGGTCGTTCGAACGCTCCGTAGATTCCAATCGCATCAAAGCCTCACCTCAAACACCTCAACTTTTCCTCCTAATCCGCGCCAGCCACTCCAGCGCAATCCTGCCAGCTATCGAGACCGTCCTGAAGAAAATGCAGAACGTCAAAATAATACCGAGGCTCCTACGTTTCTGACTCGTACTCGAACCAGATCCAATAGCGATGTTACATCAAACAGCATTGCTGCCGTACAACAGCATCAACAATATCAGCAACAGCAAAACCATAGGCGACCTGCTGGTGGAAGAAAATCTGGTTCCTTGGGCTTCGTGGGGAGACGGTCGAGTCTAGATATCTTGCTAAGGGATGGTCCGTCTGTGGATGGTATGGCTGCAAGCTTACAGGATCTGAGATACCTTGTTTTGTCCAATAGAGTCGATTCCGACGGCGATGGAATGGTATGATATTTCACATCTGTTGAGCATCTTAGTATTTTGCTTCCCAGTTGACTCAATAATTTCCTCAGTCACCACATCGCATATACCTCTGGTTAGCGCTTCTTAATATTGCGCCTCTGCCAACGGACGAGTACCTGTCCCTCGTCCATCGGGGACGCTCCCCCGCATATACTAAGATTCGCAATGATACTTTCCGAACTTTAGCCACGGACCCGCTTTTCAAACGTCGAGTTACGGAGGCAAGCCTGATTCGCCTGCTGAATGCCGTTGCCTGGAAGATACATGACTCAAAAGAAGAGACTGCAAAACTTCACATATCCCAACAGGAACATTACGCTAGAACCCTTTCCCTAGAACCTTCTCCATCTTCAACTGATGGTTTTTCCTCCACTCCCTGTAACACACCTTCTACGACATCACACGCAACATCCGAATCCGCAATATACGTGCAGGGAATGAACGTTCTTTGCGCGCCATTTCTCTACGCTTCCAGAAGCGAAGTGGAGGCCTTTGCCCTCTTCCATTACTTTGTCACCAGAGAATGCCCTGGATATGTCAGGGGTACCATGGACGGTGTACACAAGGGACTTAAGCTCGTGGATAAATGTTTGGAGGTCGTCGAGCCCAAACTCGCAAACCATCTTTTTGGCAAGGGGATGTATGCTGAATTATATGCATTCCCGTCCGTTCTTACTCTTTGCGCTTGCACACCACCTCTACCTGAGGTTCTGCATCTGTGGGACTTTCTTTTCGCTTATGGACCGCATTTACATATTTTGTGCATCGTTGCTCAGTTGATTAGGATGCGGGATCACATTTTGGCTAGCCCAAGGTGTGTACTATGCTCTTTTTTTGGGTTGAGCCGTATCTTCTCTGACTCATAAATGAGATCTAACTGACATATGATGCTGTAGTCCGAATAAAATTCTCCGCGTGTTTCCCGCACTAGACGCCAAAGAGATCATTGCGCTTACTGTCCTAATAGTACGAAAGATTCCTGATGATTTATACGAGGAACTTGTCGTTCACGCTCAGTAAATCCATTATCCATCAATGGGAGCCTCTTCTTGACTCCCTTCCAAGCCGCGCACACACGCCTCCATTTTCTTATTCTTCTCTGCGACGAATTCATGTTCCTTCACCATCGAGGAGATCTTCTGTCAATGAAGTTATTATACTGTTTCTCCCTCTTTTCTCCAATTTGGTCCCGAACATTCCCGCCGTTGTTCATTCGAAATGTCCTTATATTCTCTCGCATAAATTCTATTTTGCTCAGATACGACATGTGTGTATATTAGGCCTTGAAATGCTGATTATGATGATATGATGATATAATGAAAAAAAGACGGTCTTGTTATTCGGTTGTTGATATCAGTTTATTGATCTCTAATTTTTTGTCCCTCTCTATTGGAGGTCATATCTATTTCTAAATGTTAACAACAAGACGTAAAATCACTCCTACGCCAAAACGCATTCCAAATGCATCATAAAGGTATACCACTAGGTTAGAAAACAGAGGGTGGGAGAGAGAAGTTCAGTTCTTCAGAACCCCTTCACCTCTCTCCTCTCTCTCCTCCCACAAACACCTCTCACACAGACACGTACCCCCCAACGCCCCCCTTGCCCACTCCCTCCTCTCCCTCACCCCCAACCCCACATCACAATAATGATTTAAAATCTCTTCCCCCTTCCTAATCCCCTTCCCCCTCCCCCTCCCCCTCCCCCTGCCGCTCCCATCCTGAGCCTCTCCACCCCTACCCCCCCATCTAACCCTCTCCCCTTCCCCCCTAGCCGTAAACGTAATCTCCCCACCCCATTCCCAACGCACATTCGGATCACAAGAATGGTTCGCCAGACACCAGAGCGGGTGCACGGCGCAGACTTCCGGGCCCCCATCCCAGGTTGACAGGCGGCCTGAGGCCGTACCGCGGAATTTGGCGTAGAGGGTGTTTAGGATCCAGGTGTCGTAGAGGGGGAGGGTGATGAAGGGATCCAGCCCCATTTCTTCGAGGAGGCGGGTGGGTTGGAGGATTGTTAGGTGGAAGGAGAAGGGGAGGGTTGCCGAAGGGGGCTGGGAGGATTGGAGAGGTGATGATGATGATGATGATGATGGAGGAGGAGGAGGTGGTGGTGGGAGCAACCCATCATCGAGCGGGTAGAAATCGCCCCAGATGTACTTTACCTCCTGCAAGTCTAGTGGGTGTATGCGCTGCGTGGCAACCATGGCGATGGCGCGGCGTAGCAGGAGAAAATACAAGTAATCAGCCTTATCTTTCGGGTCCTGGATGTCCTTTCCAATGGCCTCGAGGCCCTCTTTCCCACACTCGGCTGGGTGGTAGATACTCTGAGCGAGATCGTGACACTCCTGGCTGCAAAATACGGTATCTTGGCAATTCTCGCAGGCGACGGAGGGGTCTGCGGCGGAGAGATCCGGGATCGGTCCGTTGCAAGCATCGCACAGGTCGTCATGTAGGCGATTCGTCGCGGTTAAGAAGGATGACTCGTGGAGGAAAGTCTCTCCAGGCGCGATGCTTTGAGTTGCTACTAAACCGAGTTGGACGGAAGTTTTTTCTCCATCTCCCCTTTTACCAGCTGCTGCGCTGTCTGTGGTACTATCATATAGTGCAGGCAGGGCGATGGAGCGCACTTCGCATTTGGGAGCCACTTCCTTAAGCCTTTCATTCAGCAGCTGCAAAGTCTCAGGCGCGTTGCGGTCTGGCTCGTGTGTATTCCAGGGATACAAAACCCTCCTCGCAAACCCCTGACCGTCGAGATGTGCAGGCTCAAATTCTGCCAGCAGCTCGTCATCGGTTTCTTGTTCTTGGTCTTCAATGGCAGAACTCAGCACCCGTCTCTCCCTCTCCCTCCGCTTCCGGGACCGCAGGGATGCCACATACGAGCGTTTGATGGTATTCAGCTGCTCTTCTAACTCATCGAAGCTGCATTTAGAGTCGACGCCGGACAGGTTCATAGCTTGTATGCAGAAATGATACGCATCTCTCATACAACCACACTGCACAAGGCTTTTCACGAGCAAGATGTACACCTGCCATATATGTTCCGTATATTCGTCTTGAGAAACGGGTTCAAAACAGACCTCCTCCTCCTCCTTATCTTCTTCATCACCGTCTTCAAAATTGCCATGATCATTACCACTGCTCTTCTCAGCATCTCGAATAAGCATTCTCGCAACCCCATCCACAAGCCCAAGGGAACCAATCGATTCCAAGGAATCCAACCCCACCCTCTTTTGTGCCCTGTACTCGCTAGAATCCGGATCAATCACAGCCTCAAACAAAGTTAGCGCACGATATGCATCAGCAGCTGCAAGATCGGGATATCCAAGCTCAGAATGCACCGTGCCACGCTGAAGATGTCTCATGGGGTTGTGAGGGTCTGCGTAAAGTAAAGCGGTGGCATCCTCACGCTGTTTAAGGAGAGCGATGCCGGCATTTTTGTTCTTCATCCTGTCAATGTCGTAGCTGTTGATTTGGGCAGACATCTTGAGTGGGCATACCAGCTTTCTTTCAGCTTTCAGAGTAGGGAATGCTAAACGGCTAAAATGAAGAATTTCCAAATGCAATTTTTTTTTTTTTTTTCAGTTATTGTGTATTTTGAGAGACAAAATGAAAACCCGATTTGTCCTCTTTTTCGAGAGAAGATAATAACCCTTTGGTTTTCTCCCTCCCTTTTGTTGACCTGTTGGATAAGATCAAATGCCCTTTAGTGATCACCTGCGCAGCAATCTGCGCTGGTTTGCACTTTAGCAACCTGCGATTCCCCGAGCTGCCTGTACAGAATCTCTATTTAAAACAAATGTACATATAATAAGAATGCTACAGTGTTTTATTCTCAGCTTGTTCCAAGATGAGGGGGGGATATAGTTTTTTATTTTTTTTTAAAAAAAAAAAAAAAAAATAACGATACCATGTGACTTTCCACCCTAAATCAGTTAACTCTAGGATGGATCGATCCATGGATGGACTTTAGGAACTGATAAATCTCCTCGATTTGATCAAACTCGCTACGGAAAAGAGTTGCAGTACTGATATTCTTTGTGCCAACACATAAAACTAATCCTGCAGATAATTAGTTATAAGCGATTTACAATATTGTCCGCTTTTGCAATCATCTACCCCAGTTCAGCTCACAAAACGCCATCACCAAAATATGAAAAGAATGCAGATATGCTAAAAATTAGAATATGCAATGTGCCGTTATTTTGTGCACTTAATAGATATTAATAAAATGGCGGCCCGTTGCGGGAATGCCCAACAACGCCGTGTCTATGGAGTAACGTTTCATCAATCAAATGTGGGAAAGGAGCCGAGTTTGTACTTCGTTCTACTCGAGGGAAGAGGACGTCACGGCGAAACCAGAGAGCCATTCACATAACCTGTAAATTAGATACAGTCAATATTTTGTCTCCACACTCATGCCAGAATTCTAACCAGCAGGAGCGGGTAAATTAGAAAGGGCATAAATGGGCTATATTTCAACTCACGTTGCAATTTTCATCCAAGACGATGGTCCCGCCTTCTCCCCCCTCGGGATTATCCACGGTGCCTCGAATAACTTGTCTTTCTCTGAGCGTGGCAGCGAGTCGGGCCAGCATACCCCTCTAAATAATCCAAGAAAAGGAAATCAAATAAGCATCAAGAACATTGAAGAAAACCCCACCGCCTCCCAAAAAAAAAAAATTAAAAAAAAAAATCAACAAATGAGCACGGGGCAAGAGTATTTTGTTGTAACAAAAAGGGGACAAATGGGTTTCTATTATTATGAGAACCACGACGCCCATTCAGAGAATGATACCGTTGTCCTGTGCTCGGTGAAGGATTGTATCCCACGTACCGTGATGAAGGCTTCGTTCATCCCTCCCTGCCGGTTGATGTCATTTTGGCTCATGATCTGGTAGCTGTCCTGCATGCACTTCCGGCTTTTAAGCCCATGTTCTTGACGACCGGTTTGGTTTCCTCCAAGGTGATTTCCATAAACAATGTTAGCTTGCGCATCGGGATCCGCAATATTAATTCCTAGGCGGGCGTTATTCTGAGCATGAGCGTCCGGGGAGAATATTTTGATAGTTCGATCGATTCCTGAAACTGCAAGTGTTGGTTCATAAGGGTGGCCTTGCACAATTTTTTCTCTTAGCTAGTTAGACCCTAAGATGAATTTGGTGACAGATTAAATCCCACCTTGAACAACATTGACAACGTCACTATCTCCCTCCAAAATGTTGACCAAATCCGAAGTTTTCCGGTCCCAAATGAATACATGCCCAGAATCGCTACCGCTGACCACGTATTCGTCATCTAATCCAAAATAATTCACGTCTTTAACCGTTTTGATATTGCAATGGCCCCTGTAAACGTTAATATGTGAGTAGCATGGAACGTTGCTTTCAACCATATTCCGCTGTCCTGCACCCCGACGGACGAATAGGCGACCACTATCTACACCAAATTCGTCACTATCATCAGAATCACTTTCGTCATGGCCCTCATCTTCAGACTCCGAGAGATAATCATCTGCGTCTTCCGAATCGCCATCGCCAAGATCTGAATCGTCTTCGTTGGAATCGCCATCTATCTCGTTTTGTCCTGCCGAGTCAGGAACGGGTGACTCTGGATTGTGTGGAGTTTGGTCACTCCTAGAAGTGCTTGCTTGGCGATGTAGTCTTCTTCTTTCTTGATCTCTGCGACTGAACAGCCTGACCTCCTCAATCTGCTCCTCTTCCTCATCGGGATCAATATCCTCCTGGACTTTTTCCCATTGATCGTTGTCTTTGTCTTCTTCCTCAATAGTAGTCCGAATACCACCAAAGGCGCGGTTAACAAACTCGAAATTGACACCCTCACCAACCTCCATGAGAATTCCTCTCCCAACTTTGAGGCCCCAGAATCGATAAGAAGCACACCGGTCCAAGGCTTGCAGGTTTGTCCTATTCTCGCTACTCTCCCCATTTGTTTCAGCCGCTGCTGAAGCCGCGGCACTCCCTGACAGGTCCTCCAAGGGCAGTTTTATGGCTTCAGCAA